CATACAGGTAAAAAGCAGAGGACCCCAAGTCTGATTTGTATTGTATCTTGAATAACTGTCATCACTTCCTCACAGCCAGGAAATGGGGGTTTTACACTTCAAAGTCTTCAGAGTACAGGTGATTCAATTTCATTTTTTTCCACTTAAAGGAATTCCAGTAGAAGTGACCAGATCAATCCTTACATTAAAGCATTTATACAAAATGCTATAGAAATACTAGCAAAGGCAATTTGTGTCAAGAGTTAATGATTTAATATCTGGCTAGGATGTTTTGTTAAGAAAGCTTATGAGTTGACAATTTTTTTTAAAAAAAAACTATCTATTGTCATTCAAAGGAAAATGTACAGAATAAATTATAATTATCTCTGGTTGGCAATTCTTTCTAAATTTTCCCTCCTTTATTCCACACTTCTGTGATATGAAACCACTTCCTTGTGTTTGTTTTATCAAATAAAAACTCTTTGCTCTTACAAAAGAAGACTTACTTGAATTTTCTCCTAAGACGCCAAACACACACCATTTCATAACTCTGAATGCAGTAACAACCATTTCTCACTAAGAAACTGTTAATTTGGGAGGGGTTTTTGGATACCTTAATTTCAGCTGGTTTATAGTACCGTCTATTGGGATCTTCCAATGCTGTTCGGTAGCCATCTCTTAAGAAACGCTTAAATCCGTATTTTCCTTTTAATTTTCTAACAACTTTATCAAGCGTCTGGCTAAACAGAACTTCATCATCGAGGGCAAACGCAGGATAACTGATGCAGGGGATCAAGGCTGCATCTGTGTTCTGGGGCAACAAGAAAAAGAAGAGAATGTAAGTGTTACTACTGATAGGACCAGCTTAGATCAGAGACAATTATGAAGATAAAAAAATAAAAGTTATTTAACAATATGAAAGCTTTTCTGCAAGGAAAAATTATATGTTTATAACATATGTGTATGTTTATATAGATATAAATATAAATATGTGTGTGTGTGTGTAGAGAGGGAGGATATCTCAGTCTATTTATATATGCAGAGAGCTATCTACACACACATACACATACATATATATATTAGGAAGGTAAAGCCTTATTCATAAAGAAGGAATATTTTCAATGATCAACATTTAGACCCAAATTTTAACAAGGCAGTATGTAATCCAAGGACTAGCAATCACAATTTAGTTTGTCATAACCATTTAGTCTTTGCTTACACGGAGAAAACAGAAGACAGTCTAAATATCCAAACATCAGTTCAATAAATAAACAGCAATTAAAACTTATCTTGTAGAAATATGCTTACTGATATGGAACCATGTTCATGATGTGCTTTTTTTGCTTATTAGCATAACTGGGTTATCAAACTTCATGAAAAATATAGTTTCAGTTTTGCAAAAAGAAAATATTATCTCTTTGTATAATAGATGGAAATATGTATACCCATATGTTGTCATTCTAAAACTATATTTGCTTGGTTGAACAAAAGGTGAATAACTGAATTTATCAAAGGAAATTAATGATGAAAATGACAAGAATTTTATTTCAAGAAATAGAAGAAAAAATTTTTTCTATTTTTTTATGAAAAGACAAATCATATTGACTTTTTATTCAATCATTCTTATATTCATTTTGTTTTATGATGTTAATAACAATTACAATACCTCATCAATCTCTTTTTGTATATTGTCTTTCCCTTTATAGAAGTTATTAATTTTTACGTCTATCTCCTTCCCTACCAATCTCTCATAACCACTGAAGAATGATTCTATTTGTATATAAGTTTTTCCTAGGGTTTTTATAACAGTGGTCTTATACAATATTTGTCATTTTGTGATTTACATGTCACTCATCAAAATTTGTTCTAGATTCAGTTATGTTGTGTAGTACTTCATGAATTCTTGAGCATGAAATGCCTGCCTTTGGCTTGGCAGTCCAACACCTTACCACTAAGTCATCCAAGCTCCCTGATCATTACTCTTTTTTTTCATTTATTTTTTAATTTTAATGAACATTTACAGAGACTTTGGTTTTCCATTCATTCATTGTTGCATTCCTTATTGTTCCAGATGATCAGCTATGAGTTGGTTCCAACACAACAATAAGAAATGGATTAGAAGGGAAGGAGACAGAAGTGAAATTTAAATGAGTAACTTCGATAAAGGGAAAGACAATATACAATTAAGAGATTGATGAGGTATTGTAATTGTTATCAACAACATAAAAATGTATATGAATGATTGAATAAGCCATTATGATTTGTGGCTTTTCATAAAAAAATAGAAAAAATTTTTTCGTATATTTCTTGAAGTAAAATTCTTGTCAAGGAAGCAATTGTTCATCTTTCTTTGGAGAAGTTACTGATAGGTTTGAACATGTCAGAGACAGTGAGAATGGAACAGGGTAGGGCACGGTTCAGATTTGTCGCTGATAGGGTCGCTATGTGTTGTGGTAGATTTGATGGCACCTAACAGCAACCACCACAGCAATATTTAGTTAACATTTTTCCCCCTCGTTTATTATTGTTCTTTAGAAATGTCACCTTACATGCTTCAGTCATGTTGTAAGGAAGAATTAAGCCTTGAAAAGACATCATTTTGGGGAAAGTGGAAGGTCAGAGAGAGGAAGTCCTCAACAAGATGGATTGACACGGTGACCACACCAATGGGGCTGAGGTTTTGGGAAACTGTGAAGATGGCACAGGACAGAGCAAATTCCAGATCTGTTGTACATACGGTCACTAGGCGTCACAGTCAAATCAATGACATGCAGCAACAATATTTGTTAAAGGTCTTTTCTTCACTTAATAGATTTCACTTCTTTGTAAAAGATCACTTGTCCACAGGTGGAGGGATTTATTCCTAGGTTCTCAATTCTATTCTATTAGTCTATATACAACACTTGCATAAACTCTTTTGATGACTGGGGCTGTGTAATAGGTTTGTTTTCATTTTCTTTTATACTGGTTTACATACTAAGTTATTTTACACTTATACATTGTTTTTCACAGGTTTTAAGATCAGGAAGCATAAGGCCTCCTACTTGGTTTTTCTTCTTTAGTATCATTTTGTTTACCTTGGGTCTCTATTTTTTTCGTATAAAGGTGGTGATTATGTGTTCTCTTTGAAAAATAATTATATATTCTGTACTCTAGGTTGGGATTGGGACTGCATTGTATGTGTAGATTGTTTGTGGTAGTACTGCCATTTTCATACTTCTGATCTATGAGTTGTTGTTTTTGTTGATTGCCTTTGAGTCAAGCACAACTCATAGAGACCCTATGAACAGAAGTCCTGAAGCCCCTCTACAGCTATCAACATTTATCCAAGTTCATAGAGCTTCCAGAGGTATGTTATTTAGGAAGTGGATGCCATTCCTGCTTCCAAACTTGTCCTAGTATGTTACATGCCACTGAGTTGCCTGTGATGTATAGCAACTCTGTGTATAGAAACTTTGAACCCTTCCCTGTCCTGAGCCAGTCTCACTAATTCTGACACACCAACCTCCACTGCCCCAATTACTGTACCAATCCATTTCATCCAGGGTCTCCCTCTCGTGCGCTGTCCATCCACCCTTCCGATCTACAAGTATGCTATGCTTTTCCATTTGTGAATGAGTCTTTAAATTTCTTGTAGAATTTTGTAGTGTTTTTGTAGGTTTATTCCCATGTATTTCATCTTGTGAGTGACTATTATAAATGTTGTTCTTTATTTCGTCTTCTTTTTTTTTTAGAATACCTTTTGTTATTATATGCAGAGGAGCTGGACTGATATTTGTATGTTGCTCTTGCACCCTGCTTTTCTGCTTAAGTGTTTTATTAGATTCACTAATGTTCTTCCTGCATCTGTGGGATTTTTTAATATATGTGATTATATCATCGGCAAAGAGAGGAAGTTCTGCTTCTATTTTACAAAGTTGGATGACTTTTATCTCCCATTTTTGCCTTATTGATCAGACCAGACCTCCCTATACAATATTTAATAAGAATGATGGGAAGGGGAAATCTTGCCTAGTTTCCTTTGTCCAGAGGAATGCCTTCCATCTCCGCTCAGCGACAGTAATGTGGATTGTTGGTTTTGTGTATATGCTTTTACTTCTGTTGAAGAATTTCCCTTTATTTCTATTTGTTGGGCATATTTATGTGAAATGGGTGTTAAATATTGTCAAATGCCTTTTTTTGCATTAATTAAGATGATCAGATGGTCTTTCTTCTTTCATTTATTGCTATGGTACATTAAAATGACTTTTTTTAAAACGTTGAACCATTTTTATATACCTGGCACGAATCTCTCTTAATCACAATGAATGATTTTTCAAATATGAAGCTGTATTCTACACTCCAGGGTTTGAGAGAAGTGCTGCATCTATATTCATGAGGGATATTTATCTATCGTTTTCTTTCCAGGGTTGGTATCAGGATTTTGCTTCTATCACAGGATGTGTTCGGGTGTATCCTATCTTGTTCTATATTCTGAAATAGGTTGAGTAGGATGTGTGCCAGTTCTCTGTTTCGTGGAATTCTCCAGTGAAGGATTTTTTTATTTGGTTGAAGTGTCATCGTGACCTCCTCAATTTCTTTTTTGATGCAGCGTTCAAATACGAATTTTCATACATTTGTTTATTTTTCTTCAGATTTTTAGTTTTGCTGGAGAATCACTGTGTTCCTTTAATCCTTTTATTTCACTTGGTTCTGTTATGGATCACCCATTTCTTACTGTACTTGTGTCCTCTCCTTTTTATTTGGTAAATTTGTCAGTGGCTTACAGATTTTATTCACTTGTAAAAAAACAAGTTCTATTCTATGGTTTCTCTATTTTCTGTTTCATTTCTTTCTACACTTTTTATTATTTCCTTTCTCCTGGAAAGTGTAGGCACTGTTCTTTTTCTAATTCCTGAAGATACTGAGCTAAGGCATCTTTGTTTTTGTAAGCTATTCCTTCTTTTCTTTTGTGCGTGTACATTGTTATAAACTGACCTCTGAACACTGCTTTTGCTGTGTCCCAAACATTTTGGCATGTTGAGTTTACAAACTCATTTGTTTCAGGAAATTTACTGACTTCCTTTTTTATTCTATTGTATAATAGTTTTTCAAGTAGGGTATTATTTAATTTCTATATACTTGGTTATCATCCTCCCATCCCAATTTCCCTGATGCTGGTTTCTAATTTTACAGTATAGAGATCTGAGTTTTAAAATTTATTATAGATTGCGATCTAACATATGGCCTATTCTGGAGAGTAGCTCATGTACAATAGAGAAGAATGTATCCTCTACTCCTCTTAGGTGGAGTATTGTTCATATGTCTATGAAATCCAGTTGGTTAACTGAACTGTTGAGTTCGTCTGAGTCTCTGTTGAGTTATTCTATCCTTCATCAACAATCGTGTATTGATGTTTCCTCATATTACTGTGTGTTTGCTCCTTATCTATTCAGCTCTTAAAGTTTGCTTCATCTTGTGGCTCTGCCACTAACTAAGTAGACACAAATTACAGTTATGCCCGCTTGTTCAAGTGACCTTTACATAACGCCCTTCTTGTCTCCTTTGCAGGTCTTTGCCTTTACGTATGTTTTATCAGAAACTAATAGTTACCACTGCTCTTTATAGACTGTTGTTCGCCTGATACAGTTTTTCCTACCTTTGATTTTTAGTCTATAGTTTTCTTGTGTCTTAGATGTGTCTCTTATAGGCAACGTACTAATCGATAATGCTTTCTTATCCACTGTGCTAATCTTTTTCTCCTGACTGGTGCATTTAATCTATTCACATTCAGTGTAATTATCGATAGCTATGGTTTCATCTTTGTCATTTTGCTGCACTCTTTTTATTGGAGTTGCTGATTTTGCTGTTCCACCTGCTATTATTTGCTGAGTTCATTTTCTTTATGGCTTATCTTATCATTATTCACTGCTGATGTTTTGGTGTTTACCAAGTCTTTATAGGTGTCCTCTTTCTTTTTTCATGAGGTGCTTTATTAATTTTCTTGGAGGTTAATCTGTAAGTTACTATTTTATTCCCAAGTCTAAAAGAGTTGATTTTTCTTGACAGCCAAGGACAGACAACATGCCAAAATTGTCATATATTATATCATTCAGAAATTGACTCAGACAAAGAAATACAGAAAGTATAGCAGATGTATGACATTAAAAATAGGGAACCGGAGGTATCAGTCCATGGAGGAGGGAAACTACTATGCAAAAGGGGGGATAACGATCATACTAGAACTTCTAAATGAAGAGGAAGTCAAAGAGATTTCAACTTAAAAATACTTTTCTAATCTTCCATGACAAAAAGGATTCACTGTGCTATAATATATAGCTACACCCCTCTTCAATGGCCCCAGAAGAATAACATGTCAAATTTTCTATTTCTTACAAAAGACTGTTAATTGTCTGAGTTCGAGCTCCTCAGTAAGGAATAATGTCTATTATCTCGTATGGACAACACAAACCATTTTAGAGTACTTTTAAAAAAATGAAAACAAAACTACAAAATAATCACAAAAGAATCATTTTCATTTTGCTACAAGAATGTCTTACATGAGATCTTGACTCTCTGGGAAGCAGTGAACACAAAGTTTGCCTGTTGCGATTATGAGCATCAAGGTCCACAAATATAACTGACCAGGAGCAGCCCTGGAAAGAGAAAGAGAAAGACATTTCATAACTTCAGAGCAAAGAACACAGGACATTTGGCATTTTGACTATAAGAAATGTAAATAAAATATTAATATTGTAATGAATTGTGAGATTCCAGAAGATACTTTCTTTTTTAACACATTTAGTATTTCATAAATTTCCTCCTATGAACATACTTACAATGAATAATAACTTATTGAAAATGCAAAAACTGAAGTCCACCTGAAATTTTTGACAAGAATTAGGAAAGAAGTAATTCAAATTTGCAACATCTAAAGTAGACATTTCTGACAAAGAACACTGATCATAATGTAAAATATGGATGTGAAAAATACTTAAAATATAAACACAATAGAATCACAAACACTAATAATGCAAATACTGCTAGCGAGTTCCCATTGTGTGTCAGCATTCTATGTACATTGTGCATTTCAGTGAGAAGCGGGTGAGCAATGCTGGGATATCTATTTGTGCGTGTTTTTAAGCTGTAGAGGAAAACTGAGGCCTGAAAAAAATAGAAAGCATTTAAGGAAACAGGAGGAAATAGTGTGATTAGGACAAAATGGCAAAAAAGAGGAAGAAAGCAATAAAGTGTTTGGAGCGTGTGAATGTCATCTAATGCTGTCGTTGTTGTGTACCACTGAGCTGACCCTCCGGGAGGTTTTTCAGTTGTGTACCATCTGTGGAAACACACCCACAACAAACCCTTCAGAGGGTGTTAATCACAAGAGAGGCAACTGCCCATCCTTCTCCCACGGAGCAGCTGGTGGATTTGAATGTGTGCCTTTGGGACTGCAGCACATTTTCTTACCACTAGGCCACTAGAGGCTATAATTTATCCTTCTGCTGGCAATTAAGGAATCTAATTACATGAACCAGATTTTTAAAAGATACAATCTAAAGATGAAGTAGGTTAGTTTATAAATAATGAAATGAAAAAGCAAATTTGGCAATTCTCTGCTCTATTTGAGTAATGTAAACAGTCATTTTCTATTGTGGGGCTATAAATAAATGCCTTATTTATCTCAATTTATCAAAGTCTCAGTTTTCATCTGCCTCCCTCTAAGAAACATGCCTTAAAGTTGGAAAAAGCTCAAAGTGTTATTTTAACACCGGGATCAAAGGTTAGTTAATGATACTATTTGCCTGTATGCTTTCAAAAATATACTATGCCTCAGGCATTATGTCCCAGATAAAATTCTTCCAAAGCTGTGGGCAAACATCCACACTCTGAAGTAAGATTTTTTTAAAGTCAGCTAAGAGTATCCACACATGGAATTAATTATCACCTATTCTAAATCATCAGACACATTAAATTCAGGCCTGCAAATTTCAAAGGAAGCCACATATGGACTGCATTGCTTTGAACATTTTGCATAACATGAGCAATCTCTCTAGTCATCAACTTTCAAGAGTTTGGTCTCAGCTCATTTGTCAGTAATTTGATTTCCCCAATTAAAAATAGGAATATGAAAGGATGTTTTGCATGTATATGTCACTACAGAGTATCTTATTAGCTTGGATATTTTATTTTCATCTTTCATTTCCTGAAATCATCACAACTCTGCCATAATATCTCACTCCATCTAAAGTGGTATTTTAAGATTGACTGACAGCTCAAACTTTACCCTAAACGGAGTTTCAGTGAGTCTGCCTGAAGGTTGTCATGGGAACCAGAGCTCCAATGTTAGGAAAAGGTTGCACTCAATCCCCAAGCTTGGCTCAAGAACTTCTAGGAGGGTTTCTGAAGCCAGGGTGTTATCTGTACCACAAGGTGGTACTGGTCAAATATAACTCAGTTAAAAGGAAAATGTTATGTAGGAATGTCGGGATCTCTCTTTTATCTATTAACCACTTTCTTCAGACAAAGTCAATGGACTTACTGCCTTTTAAAATGGATTAACTATACCTGTTCTTTTCTAGTCCTCTGGAAGTAAAACTACTCCACACAGAGATGACTAGGTCTTCCTGCCTAGTTAAGCATTGTTTTCTTCCTTAACTGTTATAGATTCTGAAAAGTGATATAACACTTACTGACGGGGACAGCCCTCACCATAGCTGTGGTAGTAATGACATAAAACCAGCCAACTTCTACTGAGGCAGAAAGTCACTTCTTAGTAGCCCTCCTCACAATCTAAGATTCTCTTCTTTACAGAATATTCTGTTTATATACAATTGAAAAAGAATTTTTTTTAATTAAAGAGAGGGGTGAACTAAGCATTAATTCTCAGGGTCTAAGACTATTTAAACTCAGCATCACAAACTTACTGCTTAACCATACCAGAGTGTAAATTAGCATTTTTAAAACCACTACTACTTAATTATTACAAAATTATATTTATGGATTATTAACATATCTAAAATTATTTGTTAAAGTATTTATACAGAATAAATTTGAGATTGTGAAAACATATATCATCAATATTAAGGGCTCTATGATTATGTTACTAAATGTGGCTCTGCCTCAGTTGAGCTTTTCCTGTACACAAAGCACAAATTAGACCATTTTATTACATTTTCATTTTAAGTAGTGACCCAAAAGAAAACGATTGAAAATAGTTTTATATATTATTTATAATAACCTTTAAATATGAATAATAGTAAGTGTGAGAAAACAAAATAATTATAACACAAAAAGAATATTCCATCCAATAATTTCTAATAAAAATACAATTAACATTTATCTTATCTTACACTTGGAACACATAAAAGACAAAAACCAAGACTTTTGGGGTTCCACCCTTAGAGGCCCAGATGGAACTTTAAGAGCTTTCAAAGAAAATGCACAGTTCTCAGTTCATAAATATAGAAAATATTCAAGATTTGAGCTCCCAACTAAGGCTGTACTTTTAAAAGTACATTAAGTGTAAAGACTTTATGCGTGTGTACATGTGCGTCTCTCTATCTCAAGTCAACTCACTGCCACTGTGTTGGAACTGATCTTCCAGAGGGTTTTCTGAACGCGTAAATGGCAAGGGAGGAGAATGTCCAACTTTCTCTTGTGGAACTGCTGGTGAACTTCAACTGGCCACCTTTAGGTAAGCAGCACAATTCTCTAGAGACTACACCACAAGAGCAAATTAGATTATACATATAAAATTAATATCTATCTATCTATCTATCTATCTATCTATCTATCTATCTATCTATCTATCGTCTAAAGAAGTGCTGGTGCCATAATGATAATAATTTGCAACCCAAAGGCACTCACTTCAAACCCACCAGAACGAGAAAGACGGGTAGTCTCCTTCTATATGATTTATAGGCTGTGAAACTCTGCTGGAAGGTCAGCTGTGAGCTGGTTTCAATTTGATGGCACATAACAATAACAACATACACATCTGATAAAGTCTTCTAAAACACTACATAAACGGTCTTCAAAAATAACAGAGAATAAACATACAAATCTCCTCCACTTTTGCATCTTCTTTGATTCCCCCCCCCTTGGAGAGAAACATTTCTTTTTTAATGCCAGTTCTTTTGCCTGACCTTTAATATGACTATAACTTTTTCAAGTACATTGATGATTAGAAGATGTTTAAACACTAAAAAAGTCATATGCCATTTTAAATGTAGTACTTTTTACTGGAGAATCTTTAACTGCTGCAGAGTTACAAATTTTCACATTTTCAAAGTTAAGTTTCTGCAATTTTCTGTATAAGAAACATAAATGAAAGTCTTTGTATAACTAGGGCACTCTATATATGATATTATTCTGAAAAAAAAAAAAAAAGGAAAAACAGAGAGGCTCAACTCACAACATGTGGTGCCTGTGTGCCTAACAGAGTCAGCTAGTATTGATCTGTATTTCTATCTAAAATAATCACAGGGCAGTCAACTCAGCCTAACTTTGTTGGAACCAGACATCATATTAAACAAGATGAATAACTAACTCTGCTTATAGCAGTTGATTTCATTCCTATCTGTACATTATAATCCTGATTGTGTGTGTCTGTACCACTGAGTTGGAACCAACCCTGACTGACCCTCCAGTGGGTTTTAGAGGCTGTAATCGCACAGATTTCCCAACCTTCCATGAAATTAGACATTAGATTGCAAATCCTTCATGTGAAAAATCCCAAAGCCAAGACCTCTGCTGAGAGCCATTAAATCAGAATGTCTAAGAGCAGAGTCCCAGTTACTGTTGTTGTTAGGTGTTACTGAATCACCTATGACTCATGGAGATCCTATGAACAACATATCGACACCCTGCCCAGGCCTGCACCACCTCTGAGATCTCCAGAGTATTCAAGCCCATTTGTTTAGTCCCTGCGTTAATCCATTACACTGAAGGTCTTCTTCTCTTTCACTGATTGTTGTCCACTTTGTTGAACATGATTTTTCCCCCCAAACTCCTGAAAACAGGCAAAAAGTACATAAGAGAGAACATATCACCATCCCTGCCTCTATGAAGACCCTGGTTGCATTTCCAGAAAAACATTTTTCTTTGTTCTTTTTGTTCTCTGTGCCAAAACTAAAAGTTAAGGAGTGGCCTTTTTTCAGTCTTCTTCACAGCCCAATTCTCACATGAAGTATCTGAAAATACGGGAGCTTGGTCAAGTACAACTTAGCCTTTAAACTGACAATCTTGCTTTTTAGTACTTTTCAAATAACTTCTTGAGAGAGGAGTTTTGCCCAATGCAATATGATTTTTGAGTTCCTGATTGCTGCTTCCATGGATATTGACTGTGGTTTCAAGTAGAATGAAATCCTTGACAACTCCATCTTTCCTGTGTTTATTATGATATTTCCTATTAGCCTAAATTCTCACCACTAGACCAATAAGTAATATCATGTCAGATGGAGAAAAGATTGAAACTATCAATGACTTCATCTTACCTGGATCCACAATCAACTCTTTTGGTACCAGCAGTCAGGAGATTAGGAAAAATATTACATTGGGAAAGTCTGCAGTCAGGGATCTCATCAAATTACTGAGGAGCAATGATGTTAGTTTGGGGTCTAAAGGGTGCCTGATTCAGAGATGGTATCTTGTC